ATCAATCCGTCACGATGGTATTATACTACAAAAACCTACCAACTCGGGGCGCAATGCTAGTAAATAATATTGAACTCTTGATCAAAGATACACACGTAATTGAGAGGAACATTTAAAGTGAAGGCGGAGGGCTACAAAAACGGTTTTTCGACATTCGATAAGTCAATAAAATATGGGCACTAAAATAATGCCCTGCGAACGCACGGCTCGCGTAAATAAAAGTATTGCCGTCGGTCAACATAATAATAGCTGCCGGCACGTGCCCCGGACGCGTGGTCGGAATAATGTTTTTACATCGTAATAATAACACAATAGCAATAACGATAATGATAATACGAGTACGTCAATAACACGAGTTAAAAAACCGTGGTCTATTAAGAATTGCTAAAAGATCGGTGAATTAAGTACTACGGATCGAAACCTATGAAAACTACCGAAAATCATACATACTCCATACTCGAACGGACTAGGTCCTTTTAAAGATCCGATCGGTTTTTATCGAAGGATCTTTATTTTCACGTTAGTGGAACGGCGGGCTAATGATGCACGCGCTATAGCGGTATTACGGGTTTGCGGCAAGCCCAGATGGTCAGGATTTACCTAATTAATCGGACGGACCCGAAACACGTAGAAACAATTTTGATAATACGCGTCGGCGGACCGTCGATCAAACGCGTACTGAAATGATGATGATCGCACACCGATCGCGGTCGGTTTAATTGCTGTTCGTCGAGCACGTGCGCACTTCTGACGCGTACGCGCGCGCATTAGTCCGACGGGCGTAACCCGCTCTGCACGTTCCGGAAACGAAACGTCCGGCGGATCGCTTTTTACCGTCGAATCGCTGCTGGTGTTCGGCCGCGGCCAGGGCCATGCCAAAGGGGTGGGGAGGGTTAGAGGAGCCTATGCCCCGGGCGCAAAAACGAAAAAATTTCAATTTAATTGTTACTCATAACTTATATTACTCATAAGTAAAAGTAATATTATGTACTTATACATTTACTTATATAATTTATAAATATTATTATGTTACATCTATGAATCTACTTATAATTATTATGTATATTTATATTTTTATAAGTTATTGATTTAAATAAAATTAGCAGACGCTTACACGATTATAAGGAACATTTATTATTTATATTACGTTTATAAAAAATATTCAGTGTTTTGTGAGTTTTTTATGAATTTAAAAATGCTTAAGGCCGCATTTTGAAGTTTCGCCCCGAGCGCAATATTTGGTTGCTACGGCCCTGGTGATCGTGTCGGCGTCGCGATCAGGTATAACTACCGTGCAACGTGCTAGCACTCGTTTTACTATTATTACAACCAGTGCCGCATTAAACATTTGTGGACCCCTAGGCGATTAAAATGAAGGGCCCTACAAAATTATGTTTTTCATACATCATTGCTATCCAATAATTAAAATAAACAGCTTTGATAATAACCGACTATTATTAATAAATAAAATCGTGTTTATTAATTTTTTTTTTAAATTAATTAATTATTTTATTATTTCTATTTTTTCAAAACAATTTTTTTATTACTACTGCATATAACTATGTCATAATGGCTTTCGTCCTGTGAATTCGTATATAAAATACAGGTATTATTAAATAAGAAAAAATATAGTTTTCCGTTTTCACAGGGCCTCTTAAACGATTGAGGCCTTAGGCGGAGGCACCTATTCCGCCCAACAGGTAATTCGGCACCGATTGCAACGACGCCCGGTTTTTCGTGACATGTCATTTTTTTCCACGTTCTCGTCAACGGATTCGGTCGTAACGCTTTTGTTCGCCACGTCCCCGATTCGTGCGTTCGATTTCAGTTTTGATCAAGGCTTATTTTATGGTTTTCTTAAAAGTGCGCAAAACTTAAAACTCAACCTTCTCTCCATACTCTCAACATTATTGCTCCCTGTTCAGGATTATAAACCCCGCTGCGGTCGTGGAATAATATAATGATAATAAAACAATAATAATAATACTACTACTAATAATAATAATAATAATAACTCAGTGTTAATAAACATAAACTGATAATTGATGGACCTGCCTTTGACTCCACCTGTACTCGACCATGAAGTTAATAACTACAGTTAATTATCGCGAGAAATTTTATTTATGGATAGTATTAACAACTGCGCATTTTTTTTTTTTAATTAGAGCTGCGCATTTTTCATTTAGAGTTACACGACAAATGTGTTCAGATGCACGTTAAAATAAGCCCTGGTTTCGATCATTATCCATTTGTTCGGATTGTCCGCGCAAAGTAATCAAGGGCAGCTCCAGGGGGAGACCTAGGGGCCACGGTCCCCCCAAGCCCGTACCGTACTTTTGAAAAAATGTACATTGTTAACAAAAAATGCATATTATAATATGGACTACCACTCGACGCGCACAAGTATGTAGATAGTGCCGTAGAGGTATGACGGTTGAAAGGAGTTTCTCCGCACTCCCGAGACTATCAACCTGGCTGCCGTTCAAGGACGACTGAAGATAGACTATCAGCGTTACGTGTAATTAATGTTTGCCATAAGGTAGATGATATTCTAGATCAAATAGATCATATCATTGATATTTTTGTCAAAAATATACGACTTGAATTTTGTGTTGTAAAAATTGTTGTTTTCTTTTTGCTATGCGATTTCGTGAAACTATAACTCGCCGTTCCCCCTGACCAAGGCTCCGGAGCCGCTCCTGTGCGTGTCCCGAACGCGCGCGAGCGACCGGACGCTGCGCGAGCGTAACCTGTTTTATTTGGGTCCGCGGCGGAGGAGAAAACAATAAAAATGTAATAACGACGTGCACTCACCGGGCGCGTAATTGGCCGGCAATCATGTCCACTGTTGTACGTACGACGGTGTTCAACGGGCGCGGCCGAGCGAAGAACAATGCGCGTGCCGCGAACGAGAGACGGCGATGCGCCGGGGCGAACGGATCGCGTACGTCCAGTCACGTACGGATGCAAAGAAACCGAAAATACCGGGTCGTGAGAAGGCGCGAGAAGAAAAACTATGGCATTTACGGGCTACGCGTATAGCGGTCTTTAAAAAAACGATCGCGGAAAAGAAGAAAGATCGTTAAAAAACGCGAAGACGTTTCAGCGGTGGGAGGGGGGGGGGGAAATAAATGATAATAATAATTATAAACTTTTCGACGTTTATACGGAAAACGGTTGGGCAAACAACACGTTTTCGTTTGTACTTACTCGGTGTAGAACCGCACCGCTAGATCTCCGTTTGTTTTGTATTGCATTTACGTACAATAAACCATAACAGTGCCACGGTTCCAGAATTAAAAGCGCATATGGCGTACCGGTTACTGGTTATTAAACGATTCAAAGAGAAAAAACCATAATTCCCCATAGGAATTTGATCGTCTTACTCGGAATGTTTGAAAGTTTGAATACATCTCGCCCGCTTCCGTGATAAAGTTCACCGAGTACAGTCTGCAATAAGCACATGTTGTAAGACCCGTGGGCATGCCGACCGCGATCGAGTACTTATGTAAATTAATTAAATAAATGCGATTAAATAAACTTATAAATTATAATACGCTATAACAAAGGCTCGTAAGTTAATGCGTTTGCGCATACTCGTACATTTAATTTTTTTTTCGCTACAATAAGTGTTAAGTGAGGTACAAATTTACAAATCCGATTTATGATAATGGTCATAAAAACATAAAGCTTAACTTTAGATGTTTTTGCCTGTTTTGAATGTGTAGGAATATTACATACAGTTAATCCTCAAGAGTTATTAGCGTTCACTATTTCTTATAAATCCAAGAAAACCGTTTTCTGGAGTAAATAAAATGAACACTGGACAAAAAAGTTACATTCATAGCAGGGGCGGGCGGAGAAAGAAATTTCGGGGGGGTTTTGAAAAAATAAGAATAATTACCGTCAGGCCCGTATTTAAAAATTTGACGCCCTCAGGCATATTACATAAGCCTCCCTCCCAAAAAGAAAATAAATAAATAATAATAATATATAACACTTATTATTTCGTCCATAATCAAGAGTCTTTAATACATGTATTCAAATATAACTTATAAATGAAAATCGTTTAATACTTTTTTTAATTAAAAAATTAAACAAATTATAACATAATAAAACATACTATTTTATTTTTTTTATTGTTTTATTTTATATTTTTTCATTAGGTACATCATTTTTAAAATTAATTTTTCTAAAATATTTTGCCGCCTCCGGACATGTGCCTACCCGTGCCCCCTCTAAATACGGGCCTGATTACCGTTATTTCAAAATAATTGACTATTGTCGATCGTTATCACATGACCATACAACACAAAATTTAGGGAAACCGTCAATCATAATTTACCATATTAAATAATATTATATCGATTACGTATTTTTACTTATTTTTACTTACTGATAATAAGCGACTTACAAACACGTATTATTTTTGCGCAGTATTGCCATCATGGAATTTCAAAAATCTGAGTTTTAAGTACCAATACCTTTTAAAACATTTGGAAAATTACAAATTATTACAAATTCATTTTTCTTAACAAAACATTTTTTTTTTTTAGCATATTTTAATCGTATTTTGAACAATTAATTTTTTTTTTATGGTACATAAGATAGGATAACTACGTTTGAAATTAATCATCCATTAATTTCAGGGGGGGATTTGAACCCCTTAAACCCCTCCCTGCGTCCGCCACTGATTCATAGATATCGATAAAGGCGATTTGAACTTCACGCGGGGTATTTGTTTTTTTTTTTTTTCTTTTAGTGTTGTAAAATATAAAAATCAAAATAAAATAAATGTAACTGAAAAATATGAATGGATATTTCTTACTATTGTAATGGATTAACGGAGTAATGAAATGGTTGTGCGCGCCGGACAAGCAACACCATCTGTACATGAACTGCTGAGCTACAGACGAGGCACCGGTACGCGTTGAAGCGGAACGGGTGCGGCAACGCGAAAACGTGAACGTTGCCGAACCGTTATCACGATAACATTATCAACTGATAACGGTGGTCGGTTTGCAGCGCGGACAATGAAATTCGTGACGTTCGACAAGGTTCCGGGCGTATTGTGTATTTTAGCGGCTCGACGGCGACCGAAAACCCGATGGAAGTCGACCACGACGACGACGACGACGACGACGATAACGATGACGAGTACGCGACGTTATCCTGCCAGTGGCCGGGCGCGGCGGTTGCGACTGCGGTGCACCTGAAAGCGACGTTTTTCGACCGACAGCGGACGACGGTGTTCCGGGCCAACGCCGTGATCGTCGGGCACGGCGCAGCGGCGGATTCGAACGGCGCGTACGAAGGGTGCGTGCTCCGGGAACAAGCCGCGACGGCCAGCGGCGGACGTGTCAAGTCCAGTACCGGCGACGATGCGGAAAACGTACGCGTGTGGCTGCGGGACGCGCGTGCCGCACTGTTCGGTCGCGGCGACGACGACGGGACGCGTGCCGCCGAATACGTGTACGCTTTGCAGACGCCCAGCGGCGGAAACGACCCGGCACCATTGTCGCTGCGGCTCTCGTGGAAAATGAAACTGCGCCCGATCGGCCTGACGGTCCTGGGCTCCGTGCAGCTGTTTAGGGTGCCCGGCCACGGTCTAGCAAGTCTGGCGCCCGTGAGCTCCAGGTTCATCGGGCCTCTGATCCGGTGTCTGTTGGAAGAACGCGAACGACACCGACAGGCCGACCTCCGGGCGGCCGCGAATGCTGAGCAGCTGTTGGACGACAACCGTCGGCTGTTGGATCGGTTGCGATCAGCGGCCGACAGCCGACAGCAAGATGATCGCAGGCTGATTTCCCGATTCGTTGAGGTGTTGAACGCGAAAAAACGACGACTGGTCGCAATACAACAAGAGTTATCCGAGCTGAAACAACAACAACAACGCATCGGGTCGATGGCTGTTACCGATACCGAATCGCGGGAAATAACTGTTCAACAGCGAGGTCGAAAAGCCAAGTCAAACACTACGCCTTATGGTAAACAGTTAAATGACACTCCAGTGGTAATAAAAAAGAGACGACCAAGAACGATGCAGTCTAGTGACAATAAATGGTGTTCAATCTTGCCTGAAGAAGAGGAACAGAGAGTTGATGACGTAGAAATTGTAAAACAAAACAATGAAGGTAAGGAACTGAATAGACTGGATAAAAATATAAAAATGGATGATAAAAGCAGCTCCCATATCATTAATATTGATCGTGGTACCTCTGATGAACGTCTAGAAATGGGATCTCCTAGTGCTGTAGATGTTTTTGATGCTGACACCCAAATAGACTATCCTGATAATGATGAAAAACAGCCACAGCAAGTTGATCTAATGGAAATTAACCGAAAAAGTAGTTCGGTTGTTAATAATATTAATAATATTATACCTAGTGTTATAGATTTAAAAACAGCTGCAGGCTCTCCTGAAATTATGGATTATTTTACTGCTGACACACTAGATGACGGTCCTGTCAACAACACTACTCCTAATAGTTCACCTCCGTGGTTTCAACAACAAACAACCGATACTGAAATGCTGCAGAAATCTCCGAACAAAGACTTTGGTTGCCAACAACCTAAAATGAATAATTCACCTCCGTGGTTTCAACAACAAACAACTGATACTGCAATGCTGCAGAAATCTCCGAACAAAGACATTGGCTGCCAACAAACTAAAAAGAAGAATGTGCTTGATGATCTTTGGTCAGGCATTTTGTGACTTAAGAGGTGTTATTAAGGAAAAAAAATTATTACTTTTTATATTTTATTGCATTATGATTTATATTTTGTTATTTTTACAAATTATATTTGTATTGTTATTATTATTTATTCAATAAGTATATTATTGATATTTGATTTACAATTACATTACAAATTATTATATTAAATCTAACAAATTATTGTGATTTTAACATTTTTTAATACTTATGTGGTTGTAATTATAATATTTTGTTTGTATGTTAAACTGGTCCTACATGACTTGTGTTCTTGGCAAGAATCATGTTTGCTTAATATTTTGAATTGTCTATCATTTTGATTATGTTGTTCTTACATGACTCCATATACTTGCCGATCAATATATACAATTATTTTTATTTAATTTGACTCTTGTAACATTCACCGATAACCGATGAAAAACAATGAGTGACTGGTAGAGTAAAAATAATTGAACACTTCCTACATGACTTGTAAAGTATCAATTAACGATTATATGCCTGGTATATGGGATAGGCTTTACTTGAAATAACCAACCATTTACTCAGAACTGAAGAGTTGCTATGTGACAATGACATTAAATATCAAATAATAATTAATAACATGAGGAATTGTAATTGAAATTATTTTTTTGGAAATATAATTATTACATTTTATTTTTTTTTATTATTAGTCAAATATACAATTTTATCACAGCCATGAATGTGTACTAATCTGATATAAAATTACCATTTATTATTTAAAATTATTTTTATGTGTTAAATTTATTATTCAAAATATATTATATTAATGTTATAGTATTGTTAAATATGCTATGATTACATTGTGATTCTAAATGAAATAAATAAATTCACATGTTAAATTTAACTATATATACATTGAGAAAATAATATTACATTTTATTATATATTTTAAAAGTATTGTTTACATATCAACATCAAAAAAGTTCCATATTTATTTGTAAATGCAGTAATGCTTATATTGAAAGTCATCCGCACGCCATTAATATGGAATAATGAATTCATAATTAACGTACAAATGCATTTGGACGAAAACCTAAAGGCTGTACATATTTCCATAAAAATAAATCCGAATCCTATGGTAAAATTGTAATTCGGTCGAACGTTGTTCAAAGCAGTGCATTTTATAAGGAATTTTCACAGGATGACAAAAAATGTTTTTCTCAAAATAGTCAATGGAATACCATAGTACGATTATAGTATTACACGTTTGTTTTGCATTATTTTGCCCAATCTTTCAAAATATTGTCGACAAAGTATAATCACTGGGCGACATTTCTGTCGTCTAGTTAAAAAATGCACTGGTTTAAAGGTTTCACTTTTGTCCGGTATCGGACAACTAGACCATCGATTTCACCGTAGTACGCAAAGTCAACGGTTGCACGGGTTCAAATTATGGATCGTGTTGTTCCCCGCGTCAGGACCGATGAAATTGACCACGAAGTCCAGGATCGTTTACACCGGGGTAGAACACGATTGCGTACATTTGTTCTTTTTGGCAAAACGATTGCGTATGTTTGTAGATGAGTATCAAAAAGATGGGTAAGAAAAATAAAAAACACGATTGTACAACGAAATTGTATGCAACGTTGTCAAATTAACTAATTCCACCGTATTATATTTAAAAACTAAATAAAAAAATAAAAAATAAATATATCTAAATATAGAACACATGTACTAAGTTACTACAGTTCTATAATAATTTATAATTTAAACGAGGATAACTTAACAAAAGAAAAGTAATTATTAAATAAATAAAATCGTTAGTTTTTATTGTAATAAAATTATTGTTAATAAATTATTTGAAAATGCTTAAATTTGGATTCCCTGACGTCTATAACCTACTGCTTTTACTGAAACTCGGAAAATATCGTATAACACAACTGAAACAACGAAATTTCGTTATATCTGTTATATATATTTGATATCATTAACAATAAACATAGGTAATAAAAGCGATAAAACACAAAGTATATATTAACTTTTTCAAGTTCACGCGTACAGGCATGTGGTATACACCAATGCCGGTATGAAAATCGGCATCAACGTTTAAAAATTCGTACGCAATCGTGTATGCAGTCAAAATTCGGGTAAAATCGTACAGCTTAAAAAGGTATCGCCGATAACGAACGTACGCAATCGTTTTCTACCCTTAAACCGGACGTCCGTGTTCGAGACACATACCCCGCCGGCCGCAGGGATCAAAGGCGACACGGTCGTCGGGGGTGCGGACCGAACAACGTGGACAACCCGGTCGGTTGAAACCACAGATCGTGCGCGACGTGTTCTGTGCGCTCGGCGACGCTCCGCGATGAATCGCCCGTAGGCAAACAAGTGTGTTCGGACGTTCTCGCAGCGGCCGCCTCATGCGCCCTCGAAATACTCGTGTCGGTCGACAGGGACCAGTTCGAAAACGTCGTGCTGTTGGATCCCATGGTCTTGGAGGGTGGCCGCGAACCGTTTGCACAGCTCGTTGTGTTTGTCCGTCACCGCCTTCAGGTCGTTCCACGCGCGTTCGATCTGTTTGTTTTTCTTGGCGAGCAACGCCTGCAATCACGGTCGACGTTAAAACGATATTAAAATAAATCAATCCGCCATAGTCAATCCGGCGAAATGCAAAGAGTGACGTTATTCGCGCGAACCGTAAAACAATATTTCCCGGGCCCGGCGTTAGGACTGCATATCTGTGAGGGACCTTTGGCGGCCACTTTCGGGCTACGTTGTTGCAGGCGCTTTACGCTTTATCGCGGATCCGCCAGTTGATGTTACAAAACACTTGTCGTACACGTGTGGAAGTAACATGAAATACAACGAAAAAAAAAAAAAAAAAAAAAAAAGGCGCAAAAGAAAGAAAATTATTGCGGTGCGAAAGAATAGTTGACGAATTATGTGTGTTTGTCGAAAGGATCGAAGAAAAAAAAATAAAGGTATTATGCAACATGTTATATGTACTTGTATATGACGAATTGGACTTGAAGATTTACTGTCCAAAAACATTAATGATGATGAGTGACAGAAAATATTCGCATCAAGTGCGACGAACGAAAAAGAAAAAAAGGCTCTTTCACAAACTTTGGCGCCCCCAAAATTAAAACCAGGGTCTCCGGCACACATCTTCTTAGGGCCGCCAATATAAAAAATAACTGGTAAGGTGTTATTGTAAATATGATCACAGCAATAATCATTGTTGAAAATCACAATTGATGAAAGTTTAGGATTGCCAATAAAAACGTTATACAATAAATGACATTAATAGTTTAAATTCACCACTACTTTTTACGTTATCATAACGAAAATGTTGCTCAAAATCTTGGTGATATAAGGGGTCACAAAAATATATATTTTTGTGACCCCTTATAAACGCGTTTAAAGCCGATGCGTTTTCACTCTACCGGTCTCACCTCGGTTTTCGCGTTCATCGCCATCGCGATCGACGTGTCCGCCGACGCGGCTCCCATCAGCCTCGCGATCTGCGCATCCTTTTCCTCGATCGTCTCCCTGGCCCGCCTCAGCCGGTGCTCGATGCCCATCAGCTTCTTGCCGTGTTCCATCTGTAAGCGCACCAGTCCGTCCGAATGCTCGTCGTGCATCGCGTCCAAATCGGCTTGCATCTGCGAACCGTTCACGCATCAAATTATCGCTATGCGGTTACCAGTGGTCAGTAGTGGTACCAGGATTTTTTTTTTAGGCAGGGCCACGGAAAAAAATATTTTAGCAAAAAAAAAAAATAAAAAATACTTAACAGTAATAATAATATTAATAATTTATCTGTTTTAAAATTTTCAATTATTACAATGCTAAGACAAAACCACTTTGAAATAATTCTGCTTGCGAAAATGACTAAATTATTATGTCTCAGGTCAGGCCAGTGGTACGGCCATTGGTAGGGTTGAGCGTTTTCCGACAAGACCATGGTCCGTTCCTGGTGCCACCACTGCTAATAGCTCACAATATAGTGGTATGCGAACCCCTGGATTGAATTTTCTCATTAAAATTCATTATGAAGATATGTCTATTATGTCTTAAAGCATTAAATATCGTTTTCTTACACCATTATATTACCCACTCAATATAAACCGCGATTTTATTACTAACTACTGAAATATTAGTTATCACATTAGTTTTCGAATTTTATGAGACAGGTGAAAACTTTATTTTTCGTTCATAATTTCTCCAAAATGATTGATTATGCGTGTTCAATATTTTCACTATAAAAACGTCTACGGAACCCCTTCCATCGGCCCACGGATCTTCCCTGACCTCCATGGGGTTTCGTTGACCGCCTAAAAGGAATCGCTGGTTTAAACGTCTTTCATGTACTTTTTCCGAAAACATTTTCAGCTCATCGTAGTTCACCTGAAGATCCTTGTACTTCTCGGCCGAATGTTTCAGACGTTTGGTGAGAACCTGTGGCCACAAAACACAGACAAGTGAGACACTACACCAGCAAAAATCGATTGATCAGTTTCAATATAATTAACTTTATTAAATCGTTTTATTTCCTAACAAAAACAAAACTGTTAAATCATTAGCAAATAATACTGTCGGTTGATCGAATCGAAAATAAGAAGTTGTAAAATTAAAAACTGTTCAATGTGTAAGTTACAATTAAATTTTCTTCTTGTATTAGAAATATTCATTAAGATATTATTTCGTATGTAATGTTATATTGAATGGTTAGTGTTAAGTGTTAAATAAAACGTAATGGAGTCACTTACGTTAAGCTTGTACATGATAACTCACAATTTTATTTATGAATGTTAAATATATAATAATAGAATATTAATGTAATAAAAAAAAAATTAAACCCAACGTGTCGTTTAACCTAACGTTAAATTCAAGAAACCTGTTGCATTTTTATCTATGTAGTATTCACCAGCAGATAAATACTAAATTATGGATTATATAATCTTTTTTTTAAAAAAATTAACTTATTGAAAAAGTTCAGCGATTCATTGCATGCGTTATGATATAGTATATTATTTCATTTATTTTCCAAATAATTCTTGCATAAGATTGAGATTATCTTAACCGACGAAATATTATGAAAATATAATATTGTATAAAATTATGGGTCGTTTTAAAATATGTAAAATATAAAAATGTTTTCAATTTTTACAACATTTTTACTATAGTCTAAAATAATATCTGAAGTTAATTTCAAATTATTGAATATTAATTTGCATCGTTAGATGAACAAAAAAACGTAAATCGAATCGAATATTTCAAAACGAATAAATAAATTTTCGAAAAACTTTTTTGAGCCGTATTGAAATTTCTGTAAGTATTAGAATCATTTCATCACATTCATAGACGCGTGCACAAAAATATTTCAGGAAAACTCTTCCCTTATGTAACGATACGCTAACGTTTTTTTGAATTTTCCTATTGCTTATAACACTAGGCTACATTCAATTAACTATTACGCCTACCATCAACCGTTGTTTGTCTTTATGATAATTCTCCATTTTCTGCGTCAGTTCTTCCACAGTGTTTCGTGCTTCCGCCAGTGGCCCCTTTAACGATTCATTTTCTTTCGTCACTTCTTTCAAATCCATCTCCGCTCTTTGTTTGTCTTCTTTCAACTCCAATAGATTTTCCTGCACGTAAATAGCACCAGATAATATTTCGTTAGTTTTTAAAAGAAGCAAAATCGCGTATTATAATATTTAATAGCGTATTTTCAATTTTTTTATGAGAGGTTAACAATTGTTTCTAAAAATTAAGTAATTTTTATAAAATTAAAAATATATATAAGGTATGATTTAATAATTATATTATTTTATAAATACAAATGAAAAATTATTTATAGTAAAAAAAGTAAACGTTTTATTTTTTTTATCAGTTCAATAATAATTGCTTTAGTTGTTATTAAGTAGTTTTTTATTTATTGATAACATCAATAAACCTTAACATTTCTTTTCTTCTAGTGATGGGTTGAAACTCGGGGACCCTTCCCCCACCCCCGAAAAAATACTCCACTGACAATATTAATATTATTATTACGTTGGATGGGTTGAGCACAAACCTTTAAACTGGCGATCAACGTTAAATTGTTGACCGTTATATCGTTGTAATGTTCTTTTAGATTGTTGAACGCGTTATTATGGTCTTCTATGATTTCCGCTATCCTCTTATTTTTCCTCGCTTCGGTTTCTGCCACCTCCACTTTGTTCTTCAAGTTCATCCGATTTCTAAGATCTTCCATCCGTTTTTGATACTTGCTTTCGATCACTTGACAGTCGACGATAAACCTATCTTTCAGCTCTCGCATTACTCTGGCGTGTTCCTGTGCAACGCAAACAACAGAACCCGGAGCGTGAAATTACTACAATCAATGGTTGCATATTATATATATCATAATCACGTATACACGAACCAGCCGAATATTATTGATTTCTTCTATGTGCCGCATATTTATTTCCACTATTTCTTGCTTGAGCGTATCGTTTTCTTTCACCAACTCTTCTTCTTCTTTAATGTGCTCGTCGTTGGCGATTTTCAGTGAAACTATGTTTTCAGCCTAAATAACACGAAAGTACGCTCGTTTTTTAAATTATAACCACGGATTATGAAAAATAAGAAATAACTAACTCACTTGTACTTCTGAGAGATGAACATGTTGTTCGTACATCAAAAGTTTTAACTTTTGTTTATAAACTTTTATTTCGTCCTGGTGCTTCTCTTCGATATCTTCAATCTCTCTATCCTTATTTCTGCAATAAAACGCGAAACATAAATAATTTATTTTCCCATATTATTTTCATAGTTTCTATCGTCTTACCTCAACGATGCTCTGTTTTCTTCCAACTCATGTCTGGTAATTTCCCAAAACGTTAGCACTTTATCTCTTTCCAATTGAAAAAAATTCCTTTCTTCTCTCTCACGTTCTAACTCTTTCTTCATTCTAGATGCAAATCCTTCCAGTTGTTCTCTAGACATTTCAGCCATGGACACACCATCCACGATTCCAGCACTTGAACGGCCGCCTTTGCTTCCTTTTGACTTTTTCTTCGGCGCCTTTGCGGAGGTGCATAAATGTTATAATGAATTATCATTTCAAATTTATTTAAAATTATAATTACCATTTTTAAATTTGTTTTTATTAAATTCCCAACAGCACAAATGGTACGAGTAAATAAACTGGCCACTGACATTATGTTTTATCGTTAAAATCTCCCTAATACGTTACCGCGGAAACACAAGTAAATACGTTACGTGTATTTTCTATAAATACCAATATCAGTGCCATCATAGTTATCCAACTCCAATTCAAATCAATAGAAGTAACAAAATAATCGACGAACAACAAATATTTTGAAATAATAACAATTTATTTGTCAATAAATTATTATTATAAGTAAATGTATATATTGAAAAATAATTAAAAAAAAAAAAAAAAAACTACTAGTACAAAATCCTCATCATAAAAATATTGAAAATCAACAACAAAAATTGCACGAACAAAACATTAACCGAATCAAAACTCTATGTACAGTATATAACACTAAAGGTATTAAGTTGCAAGTGCGAGTTTAATAAGCGCTGCACCGTAATGACAGTGATAATGGTAATAATATAATAGTAACATTAATTGTTGTTATGTCTTAAGAAGCTCGTAAACGGAGAGGTAACCGGAAAGGAATTTTTCTATTCTCATCCTCTGCACGAAGTCCATCAGTATCATCTAGAAATTCCAATTTAACGATCAAAATAATTTATTTGTTCATGCGACAATACGCAGTAACATGCACCCGTTGACGGAATTTATTTACCTTTTTTTCTTCCGTGTCCACATTTAGGCATTCAGCGAGCACAACGTACGTAAAAGAGTTCAAGGAATTCGGAGCGACTTTTTTTAATAACGAGATCCTCTGAAGACCCAATTCGTACGGAATGTGGAGATATATGTGCCTAGCACCTGTCCAATCCTTCCAGGATTCGATCATTACCTAAATATTTCAAAAAAAATTATTCAACGAATTCTGTTTGTAAAAATAACGTCTATGGGTACAATTAAAAATAGTCACCGTTGTTCAAAAAACAAATTTTCTATTTTAGGAACACTAAATTAGTTCGAAAAAACCATTAGTTGTGTGATGGCCATATCGTGTGAAGTTTATCGTTTCATGAAACGGAAACAGCTTTTTCACACTACTATATTAGTTACCTCTTTATATAGACCTCTTTTTTATATGTGGTCAGCAGTGCCGGATTAAGGGCCGATAACGACCTGCCTGGAGCAAATCATTTTTGCCCTTTTCCCTCAAAAAAATGAGGTTTTAATGAGACCAAAAAAAAAATTTCTGGTTTAAATGTATAAATTAGAAAAATGAAATACTATTATTTTTTTTATCATTTCTTCCCACTTAATTTCCTCAACCAAATCAGATTCTATGCATAAAATTGATAAATTGGAAATTTTTTCTTAAATAATATTTTATCCGTTTTAAAACAGAAAACGATCTTTTGCCACTTGCATTTGAAGCTGATATAATTCTTAAAATTATTTCAATATTAGGAAACGGTGCCTTTAAAGACGATGTTTTTAGTGTTCTCAGTAGTGAAGTAAAAGTATTCTATTTCTATTTTTAAATTGTACAGTTCATTATTTGAAAAAACAATAACTGAAAATCAAATCGGAGTCATAGAAAATACTATATATGACAATAACAGATCTACCAATAAAACATAAAAATGACACCAGATTCAAAAGTTGCATACTTTATGGAACATCCTACATATTGTTCTAATTATAATTGAAAAAAAAAGCTTTTGCTTAAATAATTATTGTGCTTAATATTTTTTTTTTTTTGGGCAATTTATTTATGCTACCCCACTAAATTCGCCACTCTGGAACAAACGTTCTTTTTGCGCCTAGGTTAATTCGGCCCTGATGGTCAGATACACGAACTTCGTAGGTACTCTCTTATTTAATTTAACGTCAACCAATCATAAAACGTTATTTTCGTTAAGATTTACATGATTATCTCAGTCGCCAACGGCTATTTTCCAGGTTTATCAAAATAATATCCGTTCGTTTTTCTGTAAAATTTACTTTCAGCATTATATGTGTAATATTATAGTATAATTATTTATCAGCCGGAGGCAGTATTTAACAGTCGCCGATAAAATTCGTTGGATGTATGTTGAGTAAAATAAGTAAAGAACATTTTGTGCAGTACACAAAGTGAATGAACGCGTGGTGAAAAAATTACACGTTATGAAATCACATGTTCTCGTATTTCTCGAGGAGCGAAAAAACCGTTTCCGTTTTACGAAACGATCGATTTCACTAGGTAGATGTGCAACATGTACGCACGCGTTTCGTAACGATATTATTCATCATTCATTCATCCTTATTGATTACGAACAATAATAATGAGTCATTTGCACGCGGTGAGAAACGGCTGCAGCGCGCAAGACCACGTCGGACGTTCGACGGGACATCGTTTCACGGGGCGTTTTTTTTTTCTACTCCTGAAAGCGTTATCGCGGAGACTTCGTTACACAAATCGGACGCGCGTACGGAATGATCGTCACTTACCTCCACCAGACTGGTGTCGAGAAGTTTGAATCCGGAAACGATGTACGATACGCTCGCCGAAGTCGTCACGAACGGGCCGTGTCCGTCCTCACATTCGATGCTTTTGATTTCTCGGTAGACGCCTGCGGAAACGTTAAATATCAAGTACTATGATAATACTACCAGTCGGTCGACGAACACAGCACACAGCACACGTCCGCCGGCGGCTGAAGTGACGGTTATTTAAAGGTTCGAGTGCGATCGAAAACAATTCCAAGAGTCTCCGGACATAACTCAAAACCATAATAATAATAATAATGATAATCCATTGCCCGTGCCAGGAGCGTACCCAGGAATTTATTATGGGGTGGGGGTCCGTAAATTGTATTTTATCTGTTCTCTAATTATAATTATAGTTTAACTCAATACCAACAAATTACTGTTAATATACTATAGTATGTTTTGTAAATTATAAGTATATTATATAATCTATAAACTTTGTATATTGAAGATAATGGGAAATTAATATACATTATATACTATTATTATACTATTTACTAATAAACCGTTGAGTATTTAGAAATTTTAATGTGGAGGTTCGGACCCGACCCCCCCCCTTAGGTACACCCTTGGCCCGTGCTGTAGTAAAAAGAAAAATGAGCGGGCTGGAATCGACTTGCCCCAAGAGTTTTATCGTACGGTGTTTAATAACGCGTAAAAAGACAAGAACGTGAGAACGCTCTGTACAGATATTTGAAGAGATTCTGTTTGTTGTAGGATAACGACGATTGTATTATATTCGACACAACTGCACGTCATAGCGAATAACATCGTTAACTACGCGATTGACCAAGCGATAACGTCGGTCGTATAAACAGTTATTTTACATTATTATTCTCGTTGAAACTCGTATTTTTACAATTGGAAATTATCGCTGCCATCAGAATCGTATTTTGTACCACCCGTGAACGTTATTCATTGATTTTTCTATACAACATATGCGTTTCTGTGAAGTTTGAAATTAATTTTAACCATTTCTTTAATCGAATTGTAATATACTCACGAATGAAATGTGAACCGTTCATTTTTTTTAACATTTTGATGGACAAATTATTAACTTTCGTCAACCGCAACATAATTCGTATCCGACGTGCCTACCCTACATCTCGTGATTGGTTCCCGCAAAATAAGTAATTACGATAATGATATGACACATAACTGGTTTAACTCAGTAGGCAATGGAAATTCGAAAATTAACATAATTTATGTTAATTTGTGGATCAGAAACACGTGTACACAATTTGTGTGTGTAACAAATCATTCGAACCAATTTGTAATCGGCCGAGTTGGTTTGTGAAATGTATCCGATAATTGCGTATAAAACGTGTACGCGTAGATTTTTTTTGTGATTTCATGTACTACAGTGTACTATATATCAACGACCTATAGAGTGATCTGTTCACCTTGGTGTAACTTGAAATGTTCGCTTAATTCTTTTTGATCTTGTAGCACCGACATCAATGCGTTTCTATCCTCGGTGAAGTGAACGATGGGGTAGACGGCAACTGTACGTGAAAATTAAACACGGTTACGTAAAATGTAAAATCGAAGTAAATGTTATTGAAATGGTGTACCGTTTTTTTCCTTGCATTTCAACGCGGTCCCTTTCGCAAATTCGTCTTTTAACACCTCGGAAGCGTCTTGTAGTCGTTTTTCCGTCACCTGCGAACCGTCCCTGGTCGTAGCCGTGATGAACGAGAACAGAGTCAACGGTCTTCGGCATCTCTGATTTTTCGGTTCTGCGTAACAATAAATAGTAAACATATTTCATTCAGTGCTGTTAGACGAATCTAATTTGTGAACAATACAGCAATATATACACATATAAATTATCACTAATGTATACAATTTTTTCCCCATATTTTTGTTTAACAATTTTTCGTCACGATAAACTTAATTTTAATCGAACATTATTGAACATCGTGTCAACTTTTAGTCCATACCTAATAAAAGTTAAACGTTCAAATCGTTTAAAAAAAATAAAAAATAAAAAAATACTACTACGTCGAATGCATTACATTAATGTCCAATGGGAATAATAAACATTTATGATAATTATCACCGAGTTCACAGTGAAGTAACTACGTTAGAAATTCTCGTTTTAACATACCACCCAGTAAGTAATAATAACTTATTGGCCCGCATTAGATCCTATATCGTAGAGTTGTACACCCGTACAGTCGATTTATGGTATCGTAAATCAACAATTAATTGAACCGATAGTAGAAATTAATTTTACGAAACATTTTTTATTTTTTTTTTTTCATTCGAAGGATCGACGTATTTAATGACCCGGTATATATATTTATCAAATGGAAAAATGCGTGTGCGGAATACTTTCTAAATATATATATAAATATTTCATTGTCTTAAAAATGTAATAATTATATCATTCTTCATCAATTAAACACCCTTTGAAATACGCGCCTACGTTTGTCACTAGGCACTAATTATCGCCAACATCGTCCTCGCTGCAAGATTTTATTATTGCTTGGCTACGTGTACACAGCTTATTGAAACGTTAAATATTAATTATAAAACAAACCAAAGCTCTCGTGACGCGTACACATCAAACCGAATTCCAAGATCTTTATAACATTTTAGGTCGACACGCGATGACATTTATTTGGTGGGAAAGGGGGGGGGGAATTCATTTAATTCCACGTGATCGCAACGGGGGAAAAAAAAAACTAAAAAAAAAAAAAAACGTTAACGATTTAAGCAGCAGCCGCATATTATAATAGTCGACCTACCAGAAGTCGACGGATGTGTATTATAACGACGTTATTTTTACTCTAAACGTTTTATGCTCGTGAAACGAACCGCGCTAAATCGTTTTTTAGAAAACGTACGCTCGGCCCGTATTAGAAACACATTAAACATAGGTATAAACATTTTTTTATTTCACCCCGCAGGAATCGGTTTCCTCGTGGCCGTCCGTTTACGTTGCGTTCGACCGAGGCTTATTCAGTGTACGAGCGTGCGTGCGCGCGCGCGTGGAAACGGAAGCAAACCGAAACGTATATGGAAAGCCGGATTATTCGAATTCTCGCCGCATTCTTCGGCGGAATATTAAGGCCGCCGATTGTTTTCTATTTCATTTCGCTAAAAAAACGTTACCGGAGAAACGATGGGAATAAAGGGGTTCGCCGGTCCCAGGAACACGCGGTGGGCCGGCAAGATCGGATCACGAACGATGGTCGTGAACGCACGCGTTTCGACTATTATTAGAGTTCGCGCGGACGAAGAATCGCTACGCCTACGGAGTGTATACACGATACGCACGCACGCGCATCGTTATAATCGACTTTATTGAATATTAACGCTTTGCCGTGGCCTTCGACCTCGGAAAATACTGTGTACAATGACGTACCCGAACTCGTTTTATTGTTCCGCGAGCGCCTACCGCGGTTACGTTAAATCGGTATCGTTGTGCGTTTTTCTCCGCGTGTTAACGATCGCGTTGTCCGTTCGCGGCAGCACGCGTTATCCATTTTTGGCCGGCGACGTCTCGATCGCCAGAAGTCTGCACGTTAAATCATATTCGACGTCGTGAGACGACGCCCCAACGGGACCCCGGAATCCCTGCACCGGTTATGGGATAGGACGTCGGGTTTCGGGCTACCATAGATCGTGCCGTTGGAATACACGCACCGTTGACAGTAATGATATTACGGTGTAACGCAGTTGCGTGTGTACAGTAGCGTACATACGGGGGGTCCCGAGTTCAAACCACCCCCTTAGGGCCAAAAAAAAAAAAAATTGTATTATTATTGATGACGTGTAATATATTCTTGGTTTCATTATTACGCTTTGAACTTAAAATATACAACTATACAAATATTATGATAATTAAATAATTATATTGATAGGTGTTTGAAAATTTTTGTTAACCATGGTGTTTTTATATTCCAATAGCTATTAGTTTACTGTAATGTAAAGGTAAACTGTAAATTGGTAAAAAAAAGTTGTATAAAATAATATCTAATTATAGTAGTTATTTCGGATTTATCTTATTTATCTGTGCAACAAAAAAAAAAAAAAAAGATAACGATTATTTTTGTTAAATCCTCCCCCCCAGAGGAAAGATTGAATGTACGCCACTGCGTGTTTACGGATCAACGCGCGTGGTAAGGGGCGAACGGACGGCGTTTATTTGAACTCGATTAGGCGTGTACAGGAGGTTACGTGTCGTGCGATCATTCGAGGCGGTTTTAAGAACGCCAACGCAAGATCGTTCAGTAAACTTCGAGACGTTTGGAATATTTAACGTTCTCGCGTGTATTTGATAATGATCTGCGTAGCATGCGTATCTTTCATATCGGATGACTACGGCGGAATAATTACGGTGATTATGCATTAATGATTCGGTCATTACTATTATACCACAGCACGCGTAAACGGCGAATCTTCACGAAACATTCTACTTTGTCTTAAGTTTTTTTTTTTTTTTTATACAAAACATCGGTATTATCAGAACAAAGCTATTGTTTCGAATATAATCGTTCAAAAAAATTCTATCCACAATAATGTTAAAATTTTACGGGTAGAGTACGAAAATCGGGTAATGTACACATCGGGTAATGTGAACACTATCCATGCGGATTGGACAAAATGGATATTTTTGTAAAACGTTTATTTTTTAGACACATCAACCGGGTGATTCGCACATTATCAACCTTTGAGTGGACAAAGCGTTTACATAAAATAAAATACGACAAAATATAAACTGTAGATAATATTGATAAAATACGATAAATTATAAATCTACATTATGATCAATCGTGTGCATTGTTACTGTGTAATTTTAAACTTCAGTAAAGTGCGTTAATATGGTTTGGTTTTTTTTCTACTTCATATCTTATCCATAGCACACTGAATAATGTACACATTATACTATTCATATGAATAAGGTGTACTTCACCCGGGTAATGTGTAAACTACCCATTTTCGAACTTTACCCGTAACATATACATCAATAAAATATAAAATAGAAAATTTACCAACAGATTTTTTTTTTATCGTGTTACATTAAAAAAAAAAAAAAAAAGATTGTAGAATAAATAAATAAATATTATATTATAAATAATTTACAAGCGATCTTGGTCGCTACGATTATTTTTGTAAAAATAATTTGTACACTAGACCTCTGTATCAGAATATAGAGTAGCGTAAGTGTAGATATACACTATGTTTTTTCTATCTTTTGAATTTAAACCGTATAATCGTAATGAGAATTTTAAAAGATATATTAATTATATTTATAAATCGCTAAATATGGCCTAAAATTACAAAATTCTAATGTTTTAAAATAATTTATGTGAATCAAATTTCACATTTAAGTATTCAAAAATATCTGGAAATTTATGTCTCTCCAGCCTTTTTAAGACATTGTGTAATTTATATGCAAATACTATGGGTCATTTCGAGCACATATAACTTCAATAGGTTTATTTTGACGAATTAATTTCATCGAATAAAGTCAATTAGGACACAAAAAATATTTACATTTTTATCGAAGTTTATTTTTATTATAAATAATGAATATTTTATCCCTACACTGTGCACACGTTATAATTTTGAAGATTCAATTTACATAATATAGATTATAGATAACAAAATTTAATATACAAATATTTTATTTATTTTATATTTAAATTCATGAATCCCAATTTATCTGTAATCTACAGTTTTTTAATAATTTATCAGAAGATTAATACATATGATTATGAGATTATTACTGAATCCTCACAGGAATATACAAAATTTAGATTTGTTTTTAATTATTTTAGACCGCAAAACCAATACTGGTACTTCTATTTTTTAATAGACTTTAAAACACTAATGTCACTATATTTTTTGCTTAGCCTCATAATTTATGTAAAAAGTTGAAATCATTGTTGAAAAAAAAAAACAAGGATAATATTATATAATAAATTTGATTTTCTTAGAGCAAGCATGAATTTTTAAATGTGATATTTGCACACAAACGAAGATACCAGGGGATGTTTGGTATCCCCAAGTCATAAATTAACATCCTTAGTTTATTTTAATTTTAACAATATTGTTTAAAAATAATTATTTTCACGTTTATGCATTTATTTTGGTCTGTTTTAATAATATTAACACACTAATGATTAAGTAAAAGTAATACAAGATTCATAAATATGAGGTAAGTAATGATTTTAAAGAATCATATTTTTTTATTTGATTTGGATTCGTATTAATTTATATTGTTATAATATATCAATACGATTGTTGATAAGTAATTGTTAATTTGTTGCACATTTCTAAGGAAGACATCCAGAAGAAAGAAAAAAGAAGACATCCTTTGTAGAGGAAATATTATTTTCTATGAATTACTCAGAGAGTGAATTTTTTTTTATAAAAATATTGGTATTTTGAAAGTAAAGACGTCGTTTGACGTTTTATATTTGTGTTAAAATAGTAAAGACGTCAAATGACGTACCAGGTTTTTTTTTACTAAAGTAGTGAGGGTGTGAATTTAGACTAATGAATATTCTCTTTTTAGAAATTAATTTTTGTATTTTATTAATTCGAATTAGCGAAACAATAACACGATTTAAAAAAAAATAAAATTATTTAACTCAAATAAATCTTATTCGATGTGAAAACAAAAACATGATTATATATTACAGTATAGGAAGTAAAAATACAAATTATGAACACCATAAATTAATTTTATTTTAAAATTAAGTGAGCACTGTAAATTATTTTTATTACTTTAAAATAGCTAATAGATAACAGTAAATATTTCATTATCACGTCCATATTGATAATATCAACATACATTTTTTAAAAATTCAATAAAGATGAAAACAACGGAAATAGGTCAATTGACGTCTTTACAGGGCATAATAAGAAAAAAACGTTGTCTTAAGATTTTTAAGTCTTAAGAAATTTCCTCTTCAAAGGGTTATAACACATCAATATGATTGTTATTGTTAATTTGTTGTACATTTCTAAGGAGGAAATCCCGTGTTCGTTGTTCATTGAATCGTAAAATATTTTTTATCGAAAATGTATTTCGATTTTCTTCAATGCTGTATTATTTTGAAAATATTTTACGCTAAGCATGTGTATTGGGCTAGGGAGTGGGGCACGGGTTGTCCTGGGGTGAACTATCTTAGCACTCCCAAATTTCAGACCGTACGTGAAACCCTAGATAGCGAATTTCGCCAAAGTTTTACGTTTACCACACGACATCGAGACCTTTGCAATACAACCGCAGTCTTGTCGTACGTACTGGTTTACACAGCATACGAGCAGTGCGAGTGGCGGCGCGAAAACGAACACTATCGACAGTAGCGACGTTCATCGTTTTACGAATAGTTTCCGAAAGGCGCTCTAAGGGGTTGGCGCGCGATTAGCGTCTAGATGAACCGCACAAAAACGTTCGGCCACTCCGGCACAACACAGAATAGCATATAAATATACTATATATACGCTATCATACGCAGGTACTCACGGGAGATGATGTTCAGTTTGAAGGTGGAATGAGATCCGTTCTCCATTTATCATGTTACACACCACGCGCGTCTGCCGGTGGTGCGGGAAAAAACGCGATATGATTGTTGTCGTTATGCGTAGACGGCGGCGCGTTGTACCGCAACACCCATCGACAGTTAATGTCCACCGAAGGACCACCAGGAGACGCGATGTGCGAAACGGAGCGAAAAAAAAATTTATACGAAAACCGAGAGGGAAGACGATTCGATGTTATTACGATTTATGACGCGGTCTCGTTATCGATCGGTTCCCGCGGACACGTCTATCGCGGCGACGATCAACGGTAGCACTACAATCACAGAATGTGTATGAAACCGTTTCATGTGCTATCACGACGAAGTCACACGCGGCGCACACACGTTCGCACGGTCGCTGCTCGTGCCGGCGATTGAACGGGCAACGGATTTCGTCGGGAGAGAACCGCCGCCGCCGCCGCCGCCGCCGAACCCGCCCACATTTAGCAGGTGCGCCGTGCGAACGGTGGGAATCCGTTTGTCCGCCGAAAAGTCCGACCGCCGTTGATCCGCGTCGGGGATCTTATCCTCCGCAACGAATCCGATGCCATCATTGGTCTCTCGTTCGGGTATATTTGTATACTGTTTTGTTTTTCTGTTTTTCGTCTCCGATTGATAAAAATGAAACGCTTCGGATGAGTTTTCGTTGATTTTTCTTCCCCCCTCCCCCTTTCCTCTCGTTCGCCCTACTCTACTGAGTTTTGACCGCGATCACGAAGCAATTATACCGTCCACACCACCCTCCAATACCCCGTGTATCATGTTATACGGTGCGCGAATCGAAAAACCCTACTACGGGTGTACAACATTTTTACGGGTTAGTGCGAATGACAGTTTGTTCTACAGCCCTGCAACATATCCGCGTGTTCCGTGATATTAAATTATTATGTATGTTCGTAAAACGCAAATAAACCGACGGGTTAATAGAAGAAAACGTTAACGATTAAAAACCTACTATGGACCGCGGTTTCTTGTGGCCGAAGAGCGACATTATTATTGGATGATGGATTGAGCACCATAAGCATACAACGTGTACTAAACGAGAAACGAAATTAATTTTTCTTCTCCGTGATAGCCGGCCTTCAAGACCTTATCATTCAGCATAATTGCGTCCAGTTTTCACTTTTAAATGATATTACCTTCCGATCCTCTCCGGGTCTTACTCTTTCCACTTCCTCTCTTACCCTGTGGTTCAAATCGTAATCTCGTGCGTCCCAGTGGTATTTTTCCTTGTGGAACATTTTCCAGTACTAAACTCAGCACCGATAATTCCTTACACGCCATCCTGCGTGTCCTGCCCACGTGAATCGTCTCACGGTTTTTCCTTCTATAACACTCGGGTATTGATATAATTCTTTCAGTTGGCTATTTTTTCTGATTCTCCATTCTCAAATATTTACATTTTTGCACGAGCCATTCTGAACATTATTCTAATCATATTTACCTGATAATAGATGAACAATAAGTTACTCAATTGATTTTAACGATCGGAGCTTTAGCGGGCCACGGCCAAACCGTTGTACGTCAGCATATTCGAATAAAACGTACAGTGCAGCTCGCGGTAGGATCGAGATAAATCGTCGGCCATTCGAGCGCGATTATCACAAACGGTAAAAATGTTTGAGCGTCATGATTAACGCGTTACGAGTTTGAATAACGAGCATAATATAGCATATTTCAGTGTCGAAACGGTCGGGTTTAATGTACCAATGATGCAGCACATTATTGCGCGCGCGCAGTGTTCTTTGAAACGCGCACGTCCAAATGTTTTCGTTAAAACAAACCGTATGACTTATCGCTTTTCACCAGTTCGCCCACACACCCGGCGCGTCACGATAATATTTCTTTAAATTTCGCGCGCGTAATAACGTAACAGCTCGGCCGAAATTTCAATCGCAATTCGCCGCCCCGTCAAACATCATAAGATTTGTCGTCCCGGGGCAATTGCCACCAGTTAAACGCGGCTCCGAGTATAAATGGTGGCAGGCCCGGATTAACACTATCGTAGGCCCTAGGCCCCTAGTTCTTGCAGGGCCGTTGTCTAGTATTTAAATGATCAAGGAACCTTCTCTTTAGGAGAGGAAGTGTTTGAATCTCATCCAGTGTTAAGCTCAAATCTAAATTTTTATATGAAAACTATTATACATTTTTATACGATAAAAGTTATAACAAATGTTAAAAAAAAAAAGATTCATTTTAATCCAAAACATATATAATATAAATTGTCAAAAATCATAAAAAAAATGTTTTATCCAATTTGCATACTACAAAAAAATCGTAGTCACACATTTTCGTATGCCCAAAAAAGTTCGTAGGCCCAAGGCACAGCGCCTATAGTGCCTATGCGTTAATACGGCCCCGAACGGTGGTCATCGCGCGATTGGTGGGCAACACGGTGCGGATGGTATGGCGATTTTCTTGAACGTACACACATTCGACGGCGTCGGCGGAAAGACCAAAAAACGCGCGTAGCTAAACACGTAAACGACCGACGGCCGCTATAGCGCTTCTATTATTGCTTACGGTCGATACGCGTGTTTAACGTGTTCGGATACGATCGCGATCAACTGATAAAACGGACGACAGCGAAATCCTTTGTGCGCCGCGAAACGAGTTTCAGCGTTTTCAACGTCGGCCGCGTGTAATATGCAAATAAGCGCGCAAAGAAGACGGACTCGACCGCGCGTACGCATGTTGTACTGCACGTGTACAATTTAAATATTATGTTGTAGCACGCGCACAACCGTTCTAGGATCGTAGCCGCGCACGGGTGCGGTTTTACTATCGTGTGTGGGTTAGGGCGCCCGTTTCGAACGTATTCCTCCGAACGCACCGCGATGTTAACACGGTGCAATCAATCGGACGCGGTTAACACGCTAAAAACGCTAGCCATTAGCCAGGGGCGTGTTTTAGGAGGGGCGAAAGGGCGATCGCCCTACCCACTGAATCCGTATTTAAGGAATCGATTGTAGGTGACATACGAATTTCAAATTTTTTTGATGTGGATCATTTTATGACGGAATCAAATTACGCGTGGTTGTGAATACTGAATCGAGCTTTTTGTCGGGTCCATACTTGGTGAAAAATCAAATAAAATACAAGCGCAACTTTCAAAACATAGACAAGTGTTAAAAAAGAACTACACAAAGTCGATTCTCAGTGGATCCGGCATTAGATTAAACAAAAAACCACAAACATTAAAGATTCACCAGATTTAAATATTACCAAAAATTTGAGCTTGAATTAAAGAAAAAATGTAAGTCCCCCCCCCTAGAAGTAAGTCTAAATACGCACTTGGCGAACGAGAATTCGTTGTTGATTCGGCATCGTCGTTTACATTACTATGTTCGAGAAACAGTTCGCGACCGTTCGAGCTTGCTCTTTAGCATTCCCTTTAAATTTATTGGTATGAAATATTCTGTTACGAGCACACTATTTTCCAGTGATCACGTGTACTTTTTGTTTAAATTTGTTGTCTTTTAAGTATTTAGTCTATATATTTATTATAAAAATGTCATCAATTGAAGATGCTAAATATGTATTACTAGTTTGTGCGTATGCAATTACTACTGCTGAAAAACAGCGCGTGGTAATTACTGGTTTCGAATACGACCGAATTAGAAAAGGGCTACATCCAAATTGCATGTCAAAAAAAAAAAATGTCCGAATTGCATGTCACGTCTCAGAGGTGTATGTCCGAAATTATTTTAGTAATTTTTTTTATTTATTTTTAATATCCTGGGATGCTGTATTTTATCAATCCATTTTCCCTCTCATTTTGACATCAGTTCTACCTTTCTTATCTATAATAGATAATATTTCAAAAATTACATCATACAATTTTAAAGTTAATCGTCTATACTACTCTATTTCGACAGTCAATACTCTATCTTATCGATATAATAATATTGTTATCTGGTATTGGACATTATTAAATATCTATACATACGTACGTTTACATACCTATAGCTTAAGAATTAAATTTTAAAAATTTCTAAAAATAAACTAAATGCAAAATTGCTCAAACCCATTGCAATTTTTAAAAATTCACCCAAACGCATGACTTTCCGGCATGATATTTGAACATACACGTCTACGAGCTGCGAACAATATCGATTGGATATTTGGATCGTTTTCTGGTCAATAGTATTATCGCCTTTATGCCACTATAAGTCGATGACCTATAAGCCCTTGCGTACCGTACAACCGTTCGTTGGGAAAAAGTGATTTTATCGGAAACGGATTCATAGCAGGAGCGGACTGGCAGATTGGGAGATCGGAAAATTTCCCGATGGGCCGATCGGATAATCGAATTATCGGGCCGGACAATTCGGTTGTACAAGTAACTTATAACGATTTTTAGATTATAATAATAGTTTTTCAGCTTTTGGTCTATTTAACTCGTTAAGTGTCTCGACGTAATCGACGTGCGTTGTCCGTGTAGCCGCGTCTAAACTGGACCGCGCACAACGTCGGTCGACTACGTGTCGACCACCAGCGCAAGACCGTAATTTTTACAGCCTATATTCATTATTATTTATTATTTGATGAATGATAAAATATAATAAATTTATAAATCGTTTTGTTGAACTTAAGTATTGAATACTATGAAATAAAGTATATTTAAAATTCAACTGAGTATTATTTCTTAATACAAATAATTATACCTATTTGTAAAACTACACAAGCTTCACAAAAACTATATTTATATAAAATTATAAGTAATAAGTAAAAACTATTATAACTGTGTCTGTGTACGAGTTATTAAGACATAAACCTAAATAAGTTACAAAAATTCATCATCGTGGCTTTATTACTTTATTACATAAGTATAACATGTATAGTAAAGCATATGTTATGCTATATAAAGCTTATAAGATATTATTAACTTTATACATTATGCAAGTAGCTTGTGAACAAGCCTTCTCAAAATTAAAACAGATATTAAACATTACATTTTTAAATAATAAAATAAATATATATTAATTTATTGCATTTTTAGTTGTTTTTTATAATATAAAAATTAGTGCAATTTTCTTTTTCAGGTGAAAACTGTTTATAGGAACAGTATGACACAGGACAACCTAGAAGCTTTTGTTTTAATGGCTACAGAAAAAAAAAGTTATATACCGAACCAAACTGTGATAGACCGTTTAGCCCAAAAAAGCAAAACACCCCATAAATTACTTATTCCTTGAGCCAATAATCATTACCATGTATTTCTAAAATGTTTTATTTATATTCTGTTGGTATTAATTATAATTTGAATATTCAACTGAGAAAATGTGTAGTATTTTAAACGTAAATGCCGTAATAGTGTATTAGATTTGATCTTGGACAATATGTCTGATGTCAATATAATGCTTATGCAGTTTCGGAATCGCCGTCGGTG